AGACAGGATAGAGTCTGTGGGCCTGAGCCCAGACCCTCCTCCATTTATTTAGGGAGCAACAGCTCACAGGGCAGCAGGGGCAGAGGAGGAAGGGGTGTGGCAGGCCTGGGCTCCAGCTCAGTGTCCTCTCTCTCTGTCCACAGTAGCACGATACAACCGCACCAACTACTTCTACCCCACATTCTCAGAGAGCTCAGAGCACAGCCATCTGCTCGTGTCCCCCGTGCTGGTGGCGAGCGCTGTCATAGGTGTGGTCATCATCCTCTCCTGCATCACCATCATCGTGGGCAGCATCCGCAGGGACAGGCAGGCCCGGCTTCAGCGGCACCGCCACCACCACCACCGCCACCACCACCACCACCATCACCACCGCCGGCGTCGACACCGAGAGTACGAGCACGGCTACGGTGAGCTGCTGCCCAGCCTGGGGCCCTGGGACCTCATCTGATTGCAATTGCAACCTAGGAGGCATCAAGGAGTTGGCAACTCTGCCCTGGGTGGAGCAGGGTGGTCGGGAAATCATCCTAGAAGTCTTGGGTGATCAGGAAGAGCTCACAGGTGCCCACCATAATGTTCTCAGTGGCATGAGAGGCCCAGCTGACTGCTAAGAGAGAAACTCAGGCCGGGCGCAGTGGCTCATGCCTGTAGTCCCAGCACTTTGGGAGGCCAAGGCGGGCGGATCACGAGGTCAGGAGTTCGAGACCATCCTGGCTAACACGGTGAAACCCCGTCTCTACTAAAAATACAAAAAATTAGACAGGCACGGTGGCGGGCGCCTGTAGTCCCAGCTACTCGGGAGGCTGAGGCAGGAGAATGGCGTGAACCCGGGAGGTGGAGCTTGCAGTGAGCCAAGATTGCGCCACTGTACTCCAGCCTGGGTGACAGAGCGAGACTCTGTCCCCCCAAAAAAAAAAAAAGAAACTCAGAGTGAGGCTGAAGGTCAGAGGGAGAGTGTATCACTCCTCCCCTGCCACTGTTGGTCCAGGCTGCACCAAGGGCTGGTCCAGCTGGTGCCTGGATGAATGGACAGATGGATGGATGGATGGATGGATGGATGGATGGATGGATGGATGGATGGATGGATGCATGGATGCATGGATGGAGAGATGAGTGGATGAATGAAGAGAGGAATGGATGGGTGAGAAGGGAGAAGGACTCATAGGGAAATGGATGGATGAGGGGTGAGGCGATGGATAGATGGAGGTTGAGTGGAAGAGTCAGTGGATGGGTGGAGAGATGGATGGGTGGAGAGTATGAATGGATAAATGGGTAGATGAAAGGATGGATGAATGAGAAAATGGAGGGATGGATAGATGGGTGGATTGAGTGTTATGCCTGAGTGGAGGGATGGAAGGGAGGGCTGAGTGGAGGAATGGAAAGATAAATAGGTGGGCAGTGGGATGGGTTGATGGGGGTGAATATATGAATAAGTGAATGGATTAACTGATGGAATGAATGATGAGTGAATGAAACTATCCCTGGTGAGAGCCAGCAGAGTGCAAATAGAACTGATCTGAGGGTCTCCCAGTTGTTGGGATCACCCTTAAACAGAGTTGGTGGCTAATTCTTGGCTGACCAGTCCCAAATCTGTGCATGTGGCCAGAATGCCTGAACTTTTTACAGAACGCAGCCACCTGACTGTGTCACTCCTGGAAGGGGCCAGCTGTCGAAGGCAGCAGGAAAAAATTCAATTGCATTCCATTCTCAGACAATTTTCAACGGCAGGAAAAAGTCAGACTCTTCCTTCCCAAATCACCATCCACAGGCCTTCAGGGGCTTCTGCCTAGGCCCAAGGCCACCACCAGACAGGGAAAAGAAAAGTAGGACCTTGGAGATGCTGAACAGCAATAGGCACCCTTCACACTGTGGGGTGAAGTGATGCCAACCTCCTAGGAGCCACAGCCATGGCCAGACCTGAGGCGTTTCGCCCTCCAAGGCAGGAAGAGCTTGGGGAAAAGGAAGATAGGAAACATTTTTAAAACAGATTGAATTGGGCCAGGTGCGGTGGCTCAAGCCTGTAATCCCAGCACTTTGGGAGGCCGAGACGGGTGGATCACAAGATCAGGAGATCGAGACCATCATGGCTAACCCAGTGAAACCCCATCTCTACGAAAAAATACAAAAAACTAGCCAGGCGAGGTGGCGGGCACCTGTAGTCCCAGCTACTCGGGAGGCTGAGGCAGGAGAACAGCGTGAACCCGGGAGGCGGAGCTTGCAGTGAGCGGAGATCTGGCCACTGCACTCCAGCCTGGGCGACAGAGCGAGACTCCGTCTCAAACAAACAAAAAAAATAGATTGAATTGGATCTGATCAGCCCTGGCCTTTGGAGCCCCTCCTCCCCCTCGCAGACACACCCTGATTAGCCAGGTTTGGGGTATTTCCTGTCCTTTATCACAGAGTTAACTGGTTAAGGAGGGGACTAAGGGGTAGCTGGAGTTAGTGAACAGATGCCTGGTAGTAATGGCCAATAAGTAAGGAGTGCTTGCTGGGCACCTGGCGCTGTTTGTGCATAATCTCACTGTGCAAAATCCTCACCATAGTCCTAGTGAGATGATAAAAGTCCTACCTTTTATCATCATTCCAATTGACAGATCAGAAAGTTCAGGCTGGAGTGATTAAGTAACAGGGTGGGACCACCCAGCCAGCGAGTAGTGGATCCCAGACTTGAGCCCAGGCAGCCTGACCTGGCACCCACAGGCTGCCGGCTGCATAGCACTGCCTGGAGGTGGAGATGTCAGGGAGACGCCCCTGGGAGCCACCCCATGGGCTCAAGGCAGTGTCCGGCAGACACGTACATGGCCACAGTGGGTGTCACTCAGACCTGGATGTCGCTCCCCTGGGAAAGCTGTTAGGAGAACCAGAAGAGCAGGAGGCTGGACCTTATGTAAGACACAGAGGGACATCCCAGGACAAGTCGGGACAAGTGGCCACAGTTGAGGAAAGACACAGCAGGCTAGTGGACTGTTCTCACTGTCCAACAATGAGGATCAAAGAGAAAGTTCAGCATAAATAAAACAGACGTCAAAAACTCAGACGTGGAAAACTCAGCCCACCCAGTCTCCGCAAGTCTCCCCAGAAGCCAGGGACTCCCCAAGGAGACAAGCCAGGAGCACTTCTAAGCCAGGACGGGCCAGTCCCACCCCCGCATCACCAGCCTGAGCCTGGAGAGTCCAGGGCTCCTGCCCAGAGCATGCCCATCCCCACCAAGAGAAACCCAGGACCCCCAGCCCTGGAGGGTGTCGGGCAGACCCAGGATGGTCATCCTGCCGCCTGCCCTTTGCACAGCCTGGCCCTTACCCAGCTCCTCCCACTCCTCTCCAGTGTCCTGTCCATGCTCCTTCCAGCCCCTTTGCCTGGGCTCTTCTCTCTGCCCTGACTGCCATTCCCTGGGCTTCTCTAACCGAAAAAAGCCTTCCAGGCCCCACTCAAAGGCTGCCTCCTTATGGGAGCTTGTCTGGCCTCTCCTCACACCTACCAGGCAGAGCTGAATGGGTGTCCCCCTCCCCTGTACCTCCTCAGCATTGCACTCACGCCTGCCTCAGTGTCTCAGTCACGGGGTGATTATGCTGCATCCCTGAGAGCAGGGCCCACAGGTGACTCCCGGCTACCCAGCCTTGGGCCTGGAGGAAGCGCTCCATGGGCAAGGTAGGAGCCACCATATTTTATTCTCAAGGCAAAAGATGTAGTGGCCCCCTTTAAAGACTAGGAAACTAGTCAGGTGCGGTGGCTCATGCCTGTAATCCTAGCACGTTGGGAGGCTGAGGCGGACGGATAGGTCAGGAGTTCAAGACCAGCCTGGCCAACATGGCAAAACCTTGTCTCTACTAAAAATACAAACATTAGCCAGGCATGGTGGCACATGCCTCTAATCCCAGCTACTCGGGAGGCTGAGGCACAAGAATCGCTTGAACCTGGGAGGCATAGGTTACAGTGAGCAGAGACCATGCCACTGCCCTCCAGCCTGGGTGACAGAGCGAGACTCTGTATCAAAAAATAAAAAATAAATAAAGAATAGGAAACTGGGCTGGGTGCCATGGCTCACACCTGTAATTTCAACACTTTGGGAGGCCGAGGTGGGAGGATCGCTTCAGATCAGGAGTTTGAGACCAGCCTGGGCAGCACAGCAAAACCCCATCTCTACAAAAAAAAAAAAAAAAAATGTAAAAATTATCCAGGTGTGGTGGCACATGCCTGTAGTCCCAGCTACTCAGGAGACTAAGTCGGGAGGGTCCCTTGAGCCCTGATCAAGGCTTCAGTGAGCTATGATCTCACCACTTCATGCCAGCCTGGGTGACAGCAGAGAGAGACCCTGTCTCTAAAGAAATAAGAAAAAAATTAAGACTGGGAAACTGAGGCACAAAGAAGCAACTTGTTCAATGACTTATCTTGGAGCGCATGCTAGGAGCCCACAGTAGTTCCCAAGCTGAGAGGGCTGAGCCGTTGGCCTTGGCGCAGAGGAAAGAGATGTACCTGGGGGTGGGCCAGCCCCTCTGTAGCCTATGGTGGCCTCGGGACTGGTGCCAATGAACGAGGCCTCAGCTGTCCCTGGAGTGCGTGGGATGACCAAGGTCACAGCTCTGCCAAGCAGGATCAGGCCTTGGCTTCCCCGCTGTAGCCTGTGGTAGTGGTGACCCCTGTGGGGTTCTGGCCTCCCTGCCCCACTTCTGCTCTCAGCTCCAACTTTGGCACCTCCTGGGGCCTCGGCAGGGAGCCCAGAGGTGCTGTTGCCCCACACCTTCCCCTGGCCTTCTGGAGGGTGCGCAGGGGCTGCTGGGAGCCTTGGGAGGGTGTCAGGGAAGAGGGAAACACACTGTGAGCAGCTGTGGGAGGACATGAAAGCAGCACCACCAGGCATGGTGCCTAACACCTGTAATCTCAGCACTTTGGAAGGCCAAGGTGGGAGGATGGCTTGAGCTCAGGAGTTTGAGGCTGCAGTGAGCTATGATCACACCACTGCACTCCAGCCTGAGCAACAGAGCAAGACCCTGTCCCTTAAAAAAAAAAAAAAAAATTAAAAAAGGGAGGGGCAGTGCACCAGCAAGCCCCAACCTTTGGCACTGGGCCCCTTCCACCTGTCAGACACACCCACAGCCCCCCAGCTCTGGTGACTGAAGCCCTCTTGGCCTCTGTCCCACCCCTCTGGCTATGGATTCCTCTCCTCTGTCCCTTTATAGGTGAAGGTCCCTCAGATCCCACACCTTGGTCCTGCTCCTCTCTCTACACCCACTCCCTGCTCCACCTCATCCACCATCCATCATCCTCCCTTACCTGGCTCCAGCTCTCAGGTCAGCTCCAGAACGACATGCCCAGAAGTCCCCTGGACATCACCCCACGAAGCCCCACAGGCACCTCAGGCTCCAGGTGTCCACAGAGGCCTGATTTCCTACTTCCTATGCGCATCCTCAGGAAAGTTGCCAAAACTCTCTGTGCCTCAGGCGAGTTGTCTGTAAAACTGGTACCGGAGGATCCACCTCAAATAGTTATTGTGAGGACTAAATTAGCACAGCACCTGGCTAATGGGTATATACATGCTCAATAAATGTGAGCTATTTTCATCATCTCTTTTTCTCCAAGAAAACCTGCTCCCAGGCCACTGCACTAATGCCAGCTGTCCCTGCCTGCCAGCCACCAGCCTGGCACCTCTAAGGCATTCTCCACAAGGCGACCAAAGTGACAGGACTGTGACCACTTCCCAATGGCTCCCCATTGCCCTCAGGACAGAGCTGGCCCTCTGCCTGCCCACAGAACCTTTCTGTAGTCTAGCCAGACAGAGAGAGGAGCCACAAATGTTTGAGAATGAGATGGGGGTGGGGCAGGAAGAAGAAAGAGGGAGGGAGGGAGGGACAGAGGAAGGAAGGAGGGAGAAATAAAGAGAGAAAAAGAAAGAAAAGAAAGAAGAGAGAGAAAAAAGAAAAAGGAGAAAGAAGAAAGAAAAAAGAAAGATGAAAGACAGGAAAGAAAAGAAAGGCAAAGAAAGAAAGGAAAGAAAGAAAGAAAGAAAAGAAAGAAAGAAAGAAAGAAAGAAAGAAAGAAAGAAAGAAAGAAAGAAAGAAAGAAAGAAAGAAAAGAAAGAAAGAAAAGAAAGAAAAAAAGGAAGGAAGGAAGGAAGGAAGGAAGGGAAGGAAGGAAGGAGAGGGAAAGAAAGAAAGAAGAGAGAAGGAAAGAAAGAAAAAGAAAATTCTGTAATTCTGTTCCATTTTGAGCTTCAAGAGAGATCTGGTGGCTGACTCTGTCTCCTGTCACTTGCTGCAGGTTTAGAGCAAGTGACTTCACTCTCGGTCCCTTCATCTGGTGGAAGGGGTAACCACTGCTCTCCTCCCACAGTGGGCTGTGAGGTAGATGAGATCATAGAAATTGAGCACAGCAGGTCCTCATGGGTGCCAGTTCCTCTTCCTCCCTCTCCCAGAACCTGTCAAGGGGCAGTGAACTTGGAGTGATGTTAAATAATGAACCACGGTATTGGGGTGAAGAGGAGGTTTCACCTTAGTGAAGTGGGAAGCAGGGCTTCCGGATTCCTGGACTATCTGGGTCTGTGCTGACAGGGAAGTCAGGAGAGAAGGGAAAAGAAGGGATTTGGGAAGTTCGAATGGGGGTGGAGGGTGCTCGTTTATTTCCAGTTGTTTCTCAGGAGCTCTGCCCAGCTGCATGTCTCAGGTTTGGGGTCTGAGCACCTTAGGGCAGCCTCAGTTTTCCCAAGATGCTCCCCTCTGGGAAGTCCAAGAAAAAGCAGCCCAAGAAGAAAGGGTAGATAGCAGTTTGCTTCAGCCCTAACAGCTCTCAGTGCTGCCCACCAGCCAATCCACTCAGGTCCAGGAAGCAGCCCTGACTTTCCCCAGGGATCCCTGTGTGACCAGCACACCTGCTGCCCTGCAGGTGGAACCCTCCCCTGAACCCAAAACCCCTTCCCTGGCAATGCTGGCTAGTGGGGGGAAGGGGTGCCTGGCACCCGAGCCCAGCAGCCCTGGTTCAACTTCCAGCCTCACCTTTTTGCTGTGTGCTGTTGTCTTTCCTTAGTTTCTTCCCTAAGTTCTTCCAAAAATTCTGTCTCTCAGCTGGTGCCCTGAACAGGAGAAACAAATCTCATTTCAGCTCCTTTTTAACAGCATATGTTATTGACTTCATTTCTCCTAGTAGAAAAGTAATGTGTGTTCATTATAGAAAACCTTAAAAATATAGATAATATAAGAAAAGAAATATAAAGAAAGAAATAAGGGTCATGATCCTGTCATCTGGACAGGGCCACCATCAACGTGTTTGGAATATTTTCTTCTGAGAGCTTTCTTGGTGTCGGTATATAACCCTGGAATTGTACCAGTAGATATCGTTTCATATCCAGATTCTTCCACTCACTATTATATGAAGAGTGGGGAAAAGAGTTTAGGGGAGTGGGAAGAGCAGTCTTTGGGTTTATACAGACTGCATAAATTCCAACTCCATGCTTCACCACGTATGTGACCCTGAGAATCAGCTTCCTTGTCTGCAGAATGGGGATGGCAACTGCGCCACTCACAGCGGAGAAAGGTTATAGCTCCGCCCCTGACGTCAAGCTCCACCCCCAGAGGGGAGGAGACACCTGGGAGCCCTGTGCTGGGGAGACCTCGTGTCGGAGCCACCTTTGCAGCTCCCACTGTTCCCATCCAGGACTACACCTGTCAGAAACTAGGCTGTAGAGAACTTAGCAAGGAGGAACCAAGACACCCAGCTGCCCTCCAGCCCAACCACTCACTGTACGTTGTCCTCCAGCAAGTCACTGGTCCTCCCGGAACTTCAGCTGTGGAATGAGAGGATTCTGCTCCAGCAGCATTTCCTAAGCAGTGTTACTAGGTCTAAGAAAGGAAGATTCTGAGGTCGAATGCTGGACAAGCACAGTTAAATGTGTTTCTTAGCTGCAGGACTTTTCAGAGCCTTTGATGTACTGATACATGGTAAAAAAAAAAAAAAAAAGACGCAGAGGAGAATGCAGTGTGGGGAGGTGCCAGACTCATCATAGATGCCTTTTTTCCCCCCAAGATACCTAAAGGGAATTGATTGTGGTTGGGGTGGGGGAGGGCTGATCCCAGAGTTCTCTGCAGCCCTCGTTCCTTGCTACTCTCCTCCCCATTTTCCATGCCCAGCCCAACTCCACAGAAAGCACTCTTCTTTCTTATCTCCCTCCTTGGAAAGCTATTCAGTTCCCTTCTCCCAGCCTTCCCCTCTTCCCCTGGTTATATCCCAGACAAGACTCAGCTGTAGCAGCCCCTCCTCCAGGAAGCCCTCCCTGACTTCCCAACTGGTCAGGCCTGCCTCTACTCCCACAGTCCCAGTAGGACCTCTACCAAACCTCACAACACACTGCCCAGTACCAGGCTATCCCCAAGGCAGGCTGCCACCACCTTGGGAGCTGGCCAGGACAGGGCCAGCTCTGCTTCCTCTCTGTATCCCCATGCCCAACACGACAATGGCACTCACATTCTGAAGCTGTCACTGATGGATGAAGGTAGCTGCGATTGGCGAGGAGAGGAGTGGTCAGGTGGGGAATCTGAGACTCCATGGCCCCAGGTAGACCCATAGACCCATGAGGAACGTCCCTGCATGCTGGTCTGAGGCCCAGGCCGGTGGTCTGTTCCCTGCAGTGTTGGACGGGCACACATACAGCCGCTCAAGCCACAGGATGCGCTATGCCTGCAGCTCCTCGGAGGACTGGCCCCCACCCTTGGACATCAGCTCTGATGGGGACGTGGATGCCATGGTACTCAGGGAGCTGTACCCAGATTCTCCACCAGGGTAAGGAGGCTATGTGGGGAAGGGGGCATTAGAGGATGGGGCCCTGGACACAAAGACCCCCCAACTCCATCACGGGAAAGAGTGGCACCTCTCCACATAGTATAAATGCAGAAAACACCTGCTCAGTGGGCATGGCCACCTCCTCCCCACTCCTGACCAAGTAGGTCCCATTGAGGCAGTGTGACTTAGCAGATGTCACCTGGAAGTGCTAGGAAAGGAAGAGACAAGCCCAGCTCCTCAGGCTGCTGACTAGGTGTGCCAAGAATGCCCTTGCAGTTTCAGGGGAGGTTCCATGGCAGCTGTCCTGAGCTCCCTGGGGATCTGCTCCTCCGGCTGTCTCCCTGGAGGTGGGAGGGAAGGCCAGAGAGTATTTGGTTATTTCAGTGACCATGGGATCAACTTCCCCTAGGGAAAAAAAAGTTCATTGTGTTTCAATAAATAACACCAGGGACTAGGGCAGCAAAGAGGGGACGAGCCCATATGCCGACATCTGATGGCCCCAGGTGCACTCGCTCTGGAAACTCTTTCTTGTATGATCATGAGCAAGTTACTTAATCCTGCGGTGCCTGCTTCTCCATTGTTGAAATGTCCATGTAATAATACCTGCCCCGGCTGGGCACGGGGGCTCACGCCTGTAATCTCAGCACTTTGGGAGGCTGAGGTGGGCAGATCACGAGGTCAGGAGATCGAGACCATCCTGGCTAACACGGTGAAACCCCATCTCTACTAAAAATACAAAAAATTAGCCGGGCATGGTGGTGGGCGCCTGTAGTCCCAGCTACTCGGGAGGCTGAGGCAGGAGAATCGCTTGATCCCAGGAGGTGGAGGTTGCAGTGAGCTGAGATCGCACCACTGCACGCCAGCCTTGGCGACAGAGCGAGACTTCATCTAAAAAATAATAATAAAATAATAATAATAATACCTGCCCCACAGGATACTCATGAAAATGACACAGAAGTGCCGGTAAAATGCTCAGCAAGGCACTGGCTCTTCCCACCAGTGGTGTCGCTACTATTTCGAGGCCACAGGTGATAAACTATCCATGCTGAGGAGGACGAGGGGAGGGGATCAGGGAGGATGGGCTGACACGGGAAATCGGCCTTTGTCAAGCATGTGTGGTGCTTGGGTTGGGAGGAACTGGGACCTTCAGAGATACAGAGGAGGGTGTGACCAGCAGAGGGCACAGATGAACAAAGGCCCAGAGGCAGGTGAGCTCGCTTGTGCCGCACTACAGTGGGCACAGTGGGGTTTGACCTCTTCTCCCCTTCCCCTGCCCTGGCTTTCCAGTCAGACACACCTGGGTTTGAGCCCATCCTGGACGCTGCCCAGGTTGATGCTCTCAGGCATGTCACTGTGGCTCTCAAGGGCTCCATTTCTTCATTTATGAAATAGGGACAAATAACCCTGCTTCCTGGGTTTTCCTGGAGAGGAAGATACTGTGGGTATCTGGGGATGTGGCTCAGGGTTAGACCTGAGCCCTCGGCTCCTGAGGCCATAGCCTGAGGACACAGGCACCTCCCCCCACCCCTAGGAGTCAGTGGCTCTAGCCTGTGTGGGGAAGGGCCAGCTGGGTCCCAGAGACCAGGAGCTGGACCCCAAGGAGACTGCCTCTGCCCAGTGAGGCTCATCAAAAGGACAGGAACCGGTGGGGCTGCTTCTGATGGAGGTGGAGGCACACAGATGCCCTGGGGGTGCCTGGGAGCAGACTTCTCCCTGAGTCAGAGCAGAGCGTTGGGTTGGCCTCAGGTACGAGGGGGTGTCCCAGCTGCAGGCCTCCACTGTGGTCAGGCACCTCCCCCCAGGCTGGTTGGGTTCAGGGCCTGGACAGGGCTGGGCAGGCATGAGACAGGGGTGGGGAGGGGTGGGGAAGGTGGGGGCAAGACTAGGAAGACAGAGGTGATTCCCCCTCCACACACACACACACACACACACACACACACCTGCCGAGACCTCCCAGGCAACAAGGTCTGGCTGAGCCCGGGGCCTCTGTGGTCTCATCTGCAGCCACCGAGGCAGAGACTGGCCTTAGAGATCAAGACGGGTTCCTCTCAGAGAAGTGGGGGGGTCATGGAGCTAGAAGGAGAGAGTTATGCCCTCAGCTCCTGGGGGCCCCAGAGACAGTGGCAGTGGGAAGAGAAAGGGACAGGTGGAGCTTGTGGCCAGGAGGGCCCTGTGCCTGTGATCATGCCCACAGGAGTGGCTGTGTCCAAACGGCCCTCGGGGCCCTCGAGCAGCCCCCTCCCCATGGGGAGCTCTTCTCTGGAGGGCCTTTGGTCCCCTCCTGCCAGCCCCCCTCAGGCAGATCACCCATCAGTACTCGAAGAGGGAAAGGGGTCAGGGCCTCCACCATTCCGTGCTAGGAGACCCCTCCAGTCCTGGATGAATGGCCCGTGTCCTCCCCCTTGCCCTTCCACCTTCACCTCTGCCCCAGGGGCTTGAGCAGGGGTGGTGCGGCCAGTCCTTTCCAGGGCAGTGGGTGCTTTTTTGCTCTGCATCTGTAGGTTCAGAGGGGCCCAGGTCACTCTTTCCTAAACTGAGAACGGGAACTTTGGAGTGGCTGGAGACCAAGGTGTCTTGTAGCCTGAGGTTGGTCCTACCCAGCCCCCGCACACCCAGTGCGCTGCAGGGAGGTGCTCCCTAGACAGTAGTCCCTGCTGCTGCGAGGCTTGCGAGGCACCGGAGACCCGGGGCAGCTCAGTGTTCATGCGTTGAGCTCACACCGCACATGAGGGCTGAGTCAGGTCCCGAATCCAGGTCCCAGGGGTTCTGAGGTCCCCCTTGGAGGTGGAGGGAAGTAGTAGGGTTTCACTGGAGCCAGCGTGGACAAGGCCCACCCTGGTCCACAGCCAGGACAGCTTGTCACTGCAGATAGACACCTAGGCCTTTGGGAGAGACCCAGCCCTAAGGCCTAGGTGGGGCACTGAGGGAGCCTCTTCTCTTGTAGCTACGAGGAGTGTGTGGGGCCAGGGGCCACTCAGCTGTATGTCCCCACGGACGCACCGCCACCCTACTCTCTGACTGATTCCTGCCCCACGCTGGACGGCACCTCCAACTCAGGCAGCAGCCACAGCCCTGGCCGACACCAGCAGGAGCAGAGAACCCCGGCCCAAAGTGGCCTCCACACGGTCTCCATGGACACCCTTCCCCCCTATGAGGCTGTGTGTGGAGCCGGCCCCCCATCGGGCCTGCTGCCACTGCCAGGCCCAGGCCCAGGGTCAAGGGGCTCCCAGGACTCACCCACCCCAACCCGGGCCCTAGCCTCCGGCCCAGAGAGGATTGTGTGAGGGACCCAGCCGGCCGGGTCCTGCTGGTCCCTATGGGCTGAACCACATTCTTTAGGCACACAAAGGCATGCACACACACACACACACACACAGAGATGCACTCGTGACTCATACACACACAGACCAAACTTGTATACACACAGACATCTACACTGACATACCCCGTGTACACACACAGATCTAGACATCCTCCACATGTGTGTGCACATGCGCACACACAGGCCCACCACAAACACAAAACCCACCGGCAAAGGTTTCACAGAATGTGGAGCTCTCCTGGCCTCCCGTCCCTCCTCCTGGCCTGTTGGTTGTGCCTCTGTAGACAGTGCTGCGGGGAAAGAGGTGAAGTAGGAAGTTGGACTTTCTCTTCCCTCTCCCAGGCCCGTTTGCCCCTACCCTTGCCGGCAAGCTGTGCCCAAATTCTGATTCTGCCTCTGGAAACTGCTGGACCATCCAAGGTCAGCCGCCTGCCCTGACCCCTACCCCAGGGCCAGCTTGTCCTCCTGGGAGGCGGGACAGGCCCCAGTGAGGTTCCATTGTGCGCTGTGCCTATCTCTCAATTCCAGGGCAGATGAGCCACAACATCACCACCCTGCCACTTACAAAGTGGGGGACCTGGGTCTGGGGCCTCAGGTGCAACCTGGAGGCCCTCACAGCCCACCAGGCCCCCTCCCAACCCCAGTACCCTCAGTCAGGTGGTGCTAGTAGAGCCATCTCCTAAGCTGCAGGCCCCAGGTGGATGGGCAGGGCCCTTCATGGGTGTGCAGTGGCGGTTCCCTCGTCAGTCCAGCCACTGCCCAGGACTAAGGGTCTTCAAGGAAGACGAGGTCATTGTCCTTCTCCAGGTGGCTTCACCGCAGTGCTGCCTGGGCACCTCTCTGAGGCAGAGAAGTGGCCCCTCGCTCAGTCCCTGCCCGGCCGACCACTGTGGCCTGCACGCAAATGGGTCAGAGCCAGATCCCGGAGCTGGTGCTGTCCTCCTAGGTGGCCGCTCATAGCTGGGGATGGTGAGTGAATGTGTTCTGGCCTTGCCCACGTGGGTGTTTGCAGAGACAAAATGAAGGGGATATACTCCCCATAAATACCACCTTGCCACCACAAGAGGACCAGAAGGCTACTCGGCCTTGCTGCCACAGAAGGGGATTTGTAGGGTCAGCCTGGCTGCAGAAAGGCTGGCTCAGATCTTGACCGAGAAACCCCAGTGATTTCCATCAAAGACCACGCAGGTAATGGAAGTGATTCCTGAAGACCCAACCCACCGAGGGTGGCAGCCAAGCGTCTTTGAGGAGTGTCCCCGCCAGCATCGCCAGCAGCCATCACTCTGCCTCCCTCCCACCTCTTGTCCCCCATCGTTAAACAACAGCACCCTACCCCCACATTTCTGTTCCTGTAATGAAGGGCTATGACGATTTAGTAATCTCTTTCTTAAGCAGAGGAGTGGCAAGGATGGCAATCTGTTCTGGTGCGGAGCCGAAAGGAACCCACCCAGAGGTTCTGTAGCGTCCTGCGTGCCGCCTCCTGGAGCCCCAGACTCCACCTGGGGGAGGGACTTGTTTACAAGCAGTTCTGACCACCTTAGTGGTGTACTGTTTTCTAGGCAAAAAATATCTGTCTGTTGTACTGTATAGCCTTTAAAATGCTCCAGGAACGAGACTCTTTTAAGAAACACATCCTGCTTCTGCAACTCCAGAGAGTGCTGGGGGAAAAAAAAGGGATAAAAATTCCTACCTACTCATCAGTGTTTGAACGATGGAGCTGAATCCTTGTTCCTGGACTAGGCAATGAATAAGCAACAATGTATCTTTTCTGTGTTCAAAATAAATATATCATCAATAAAATGTAGCAAGAAGTAACACTTTGAGAGAGTGCATAAGGGTTCTTTTTTTCTTTCTTTCTTTCTTTTTTTTTTCTTCAGACAGGGTCTCTCTCAGTCGCCTAGACTGGAGTGCAATGGTATGAACATAGCTCACTGTAGCCTTGAACTCCTGCCCTCAAGTGATCCTCCCACCTCAGCCTCCCAAGCAGCTGGGACTACAGGCGTGCCCCACCACACCCAGCTAATTTTTGATTTTTAACTTTTATAAAGACAGGGTCTCACTATGTTGCCCAGGCTAGTCTCAAACTCTTGGTCTCAAGCCATCCTCTCACCTCAGCCTCCCGAGTAGGGTTTATACCTTCTGAAACTTGTAAGGAAAGGAAACACTAAATAGCAACAAAATAAAAATGCACCTCCAGCTAGCAATCCCTACCCATTCATTACCTCTCAACATGAAGCACCACTGAAGCCTTGTCAGTTTCCTGTCGATGTGAATATTTGGATAGTCAGTGCCTTACAGGAGTTGCTTTTTTTTTTTATCCCCACTGAAACTTGACATCATTTCTCTGGGATATGGCTGATATAACGTCACGAGGATGGGCCATCAACTTCAGGACCTGACTCTAGGAACTTCAGAGACTACACGTTTTACTCTAACAGTGGTTGGTTTGTAGCACCCTGATGGTCTGTACTACCAGGAAAGAGAGGAAAATGGCAATGAGACTGAAATGAGCTGTTGTCTCGCTCTCTGCAGGAACTCCCCTCTTCCTTTCCATGCCCTCCACAAGACCACGGCTTGGGCTATTAATCTCTTGGAGGACAGAGCCTGGGCCCCTTCCTCTGTCACATTTCCCTCCCAGCAGAACTCCAATAGAGCCCACTAACATAGTCCTAGGCCCCTTCAAGTGCCTTGAAAGTGGGGTGCAATCCTGAAGGAGGGTGCAGCGGGGGGAAAGACCGTGAAATAGGCTCATCCTTCTGGTTCTCCAGCCCATGTCCCTGCTGGACAAGCCAAGGCTGGCTCTGACATGGTCACCACCCCGACTCTGAGCCCACACTGCCACCTGCCGGCTCCCTGCTGCCACTGTTCAAAGTGAACAAGTCGGGTTCTGAAGAATGAGGAAGCCCCCTTCTATCACCTTGAAACACACTACCCACCGACACTCATAATTGCAGACAAAACCTGTCATTTTAATCCTGGGCTTTGCTTCCACCCTTGAGATGTTCCATAAGGTTTAACCCATTAACATCACCACCCTGCCATTTATAAAGTGGGGGACCCAGTTCTGGGGGCTCAGGTGTAACCTGGAGGGCCTCACAGCCCACCAGGCCCCCTCCCAACCCCAGTACCCTCAGTCAGGTGGTGCTAGTAGAGCCATCTCCGAAGCTGCAGGCCCCAGGTAGATGGGCAGGGCCCTTCATGGGTGTGCAGTAGCGGTTCCCTCGTCAGTCCAGCCACTGCCCAGGACTGAGGGTCTTCAAGGAAGATGAGGCCATTGTCCTTCTCCAGGTGGCTTCACCGCAGTGCTGCCTGGGCACCTCTCTGAGGCAGAGAAGTGGCCCCTCGCTCAGTCCCTGCCCGGCCGACCACTGTGGCCTGCACACGAATAGGTCAAAGCCAGATCCCGGAGCTGGTGCTGTCCTAGGTGGCCGCTCACCCCCGCCCCGCCAGCATCTCTCTCTGGACACAGCCAGACACTTATATCCCCTTCTCTGTATGCAAAGTAATCGCTCCTCTGTTCTGAACACCACTAGGCATGGCTCCCGTGCCACCTCTGTGCTCTGGGGCTCCACTTCCCGGGAAAGAATGCAGAAACTTCCAGTGATGGCGTCCAGCCATGTGCTGCCGCCAACCTGAACCACCCCACACCGACATCCAGCTCCTACCACAAAGGCTCAGGATCCCACAGGCCTTTGGGACTGTCACGCTCTTGACTTTTCCTGCTCCTCCATCCATGACATGCCCTATGCTGTGGTGTGTCACATATGGCACCATAGTCGAGGTCCTTTGCACATTCCTAAGGAGATACCTCCTGTCTGTGCTGGGGCCAAGGAGAACACCCCGGGTACCTGGGCTCATCAGAGGCCCAAGGAGATGGAAGGTGAAGCTGCATCACGGGACGGTGGAGACAGGAGCATGAGGGCCAGACCCTGGGATGAGGATGTGGGTGCGAGGGTTTGGTTAGGGAGGTGATCCCAGGAGTACCAGATGGAGAGGCAGTAAACAAGGAAGGCAAGGAAGCCAGTGAGGGGGTCACCAAGCAGGTCACCACTGCAGGCCACTGAGTGCAGTCCCACTGGTGACTCTGAGAGACAGAGTAGAACGCACCTTGAAGTGACGCCCGCCCTCGGGTGGCAGAGATGGGTTGTTTTATCCTGATACTCAGCAGACATTTTTGGAGGCTGCCCTTTGGAGAATGTTCATTCCTGCCCTTTGTGGAGGCGAAACGAGCTCCTCTGGCCAGAAAAAGTCTTCAGGCAGGGAGGTCACTGTGCTGGCGATGACACCATCGTGATAGTCCACAAGAGCCATCATTGGGTCCCCATGTATGGGCATGGTGAGGTCCCAGGTCTCTGCACAGCGCTCCAGCAGCTGCTGCCACACACAAGAAACAGGCATCGCCCAGAAGAGGGCGGAAAGGGGGTTGATACAAAGTAAGGCTGTTCACAGCCACCATGGGGAGCATCCTCTGTCACACCGGCCAAGCCCCATGCACATACACACACTGGGGCCCCTCCCATCAAGTTCCTAGAGACACCCCTGGCACACACTCACATGTAGCATCCCCTCAGCTCTACCTCCTGTGGTTTTGTGGACATTTGCTCAGACAGCTTTGGTGCACACACACTAGTGCCCTTCTCACTTAGAGCTTGTGCATGTACACACTTGGCATCGCACACTCCAGTGCCACCGACACTCCCACTCAACTGTTCCTATCCGTTGATACTAGCGGTATCCTATCCGCTAATACCCACCTGCAGGTTCAAACAGGCTCTGGGTATTAGCAGTGGAGAGACAGTAAGTTTCATCGTCTGAGGAAGTGAATCTTCTGTCCTGGTCTCTGCTTTGCTTGACCCCACACTGCACCTCCTCGGGGCCAGAGGAACTCTCTGGAGCCCAGGAATGGCTGCCTAGATCAGGCCGGACATCTCTGGACTTGGGGGCTGGGCAGATCTTTACCCCAGGGTGGCAGCCCAGTTGTGCCAGCCCAACATGTCTCCAAGAAATCCAAGGTTGCAGGTCCTCAGGCCCTGCCGTCCCCACCTCAGCCATGCCATCACTGACCATCCCCACCAGCATGACTCCTGGGGGCCTGGGGCTGCCTGTCTCTCTTCCACCGCCAGTGGCTGCCTGGTCCACAGCCCACCACAAGGCTGGCACCACCTGAACTGTGTGGTGGAGTAGGAGGGCATCCCTTGAAAAGGACCCTTCACTCCCTGCCACTCTGAGCCTCATTATCCAACTGCAAGAGACAGAAACCCAACTGGAATCTTCATAAGCAAGGAAGAATACTTACTGAATTGTCCAAGTCAAGCATGGCTGGATCCAGAAAGTGCAGGAATATGGGCAGGTATGTCATCTCTCTCTGGACGCTGCTGTCCACCACAGCGCCTTCATTCTCCCATCAGAACAAAAGTATGGAAGCCCCAAGTCTACTTTGGTTGGTTCATAATCCAAAACAAAGAGATCCTCTCTCCCCCAGAGAGCAAATACCAAGTCTCAGAGAAAACTGACTGGCCCAGACATGTCCTCATCCCTGACTCTCTGAATGGCTGTGGCTGGGATTAAGGTCTCTGTTGTTTGTTTGTTTTTGAGTCAAAGTCTCACCCTGTCTCCCACACTAGAGTGCAGTGGTACGATCTAGGCTCACTGCAACCTCCATCTCCCAGGTTCAAGCAATTCTCCTGCCTCAGCCTCCCGAGTAGCTGGGATTACGGGCACATGCTACTGAGCCCGACTAAATTTTTGTATTTTTAGTAGAGACAGGGTCTCACCATGTTGGCCAGGCTGGCCTTGAACTCCTAACCTCAGGTGATCTGCCTGCCTTGGCCTCCCAAAGTGCTGGGATTACAGGCATGAGCCACTGCACCCAGCCAGGATTAGGGCCTCTGGCTGGCTCAGCCTGGGTCATGCCAAAGCAGTCCCTGCAGATCTCCCGTGCCTCCACCTCTCCTCCCTGCCTGCCACTCTGTAGAGGGTGAGGAGGAGGAGCCACATTTGTCTCTCCTGGAATGGGTTTTGCAAAGAAAAGAGGGGAGGAGGCTGGGAGAACTGGAGACCCACAGATGAGCAGCCTCTGCCATGTTCCCTTGACAGGGCCAGGCCCTATCCCTCAGATCTCAGTCTGAGCGATGACCCCAAGCCACAGATAGACAAGGAGCTGGGCAGTGAGTGAGGGCAGGTGCTGGGGCAGGGTCAGGCAGAGAGTGGTTGCTAAACAGGGCCCATGGCAAAGAAAGGAGGAAAGAGCAACAGCCTCCAGCCAGGCCTGGGGGCTCCAGGCTCACTGGACACCATCTTGAGTCTGTGCCAGCTCTTTCCCATGGTGGCCATAGCAGGGCGGGGGCTTAGACCAGAGAGGCCCAGCTCCACTGCCCACTGGCAGAGGCCCCAGCCAGCTGCAGGGAGCCAGTCGAGCTCCACACTGAGGGCAGTCTGTGACTTGTGGACTTACAAGACTCTCCCAAGGAATACACTCACCTACAGTGTATGGTTACACAGTTTTGTTCCTGAAGAGGAACATAAATTCGGACAAAAGGCCAAGGTATGAATCTACGCAACTGCGCCTGAGACTCCACTCCAGGCACTGACTTCTCCCCAGGACAATCTCACCATGGGCTCCTGCTGCTTCTCCTCCTCCTTACAGCCCTTCCCTTCCTGGGCTGTCCCCAAGGACCTGAGTCATGCCTCCCAGACTAGGGGCCTGGAACTGTGGCCCAAGCTGACTCCTGTCCAGGTGGCGGGCCCAGCACAGAGCCCAGGAGGGTTATGGGGTAGATAATCAGCAGGAACTCCCAGCTCAATTATGAGAGAAATGGTGCTTCCTGCCAGTCACATGTACACTTGAAGACAGTAAGTGCTGAGTTCCAGACATGAGACCCTCTGCCTAGCCAGCATCCCCATCCAGCTCCTCCTCCTCACCCTCTGCAGAGCGGGCACAAGACCCAGGCTCAGTCAGCCAGAGACCCTGTGGCCTCTGAGCTCCTAAGTTCTGCAAGGAACCTGGGAGCTGCTGTGAGTGAAGGCTGAGTATGGGGACCCAGAGGTCTGGTTTCTCTGCTTCTGTCATCAGCTCACCACGTGAACTTGAACCAGGCCTCAGGACCCCCATGCCCCATCAGCCCACCTAGGCCAAAGCAGCCCCTGCAGATCTCCCGTGCCTCCACCTCCCCTCCCTGCCTGCATTGTTCCCAAAGCCAGTCACACTGACAGGCAGAGAGAGCAGATTCTCATGAAGTCAGTCACTCCCCCAAGGACCCAGAAAATGTGAACAATGCAATTAACACCAAATCCAAAACAGTTCAAGGAGGCTGTAGCAATCCAATGGGAACGAGCAAGGCTGACTCCAGCACAAGAGGGCAGGGAAGGGGTGTTTCTAGGCACCATGCCCAGCATTCTCACCCTCACTGTCTCAGCCACCCTGGGAAAGATGAGGGTGGCTGGCAGTTCACAGGCATGACAGGTTCCCCATGAGGGGAACTGGGGACTAAGATGTTCACAATGAATGTAGTTAGTAAGCAACAAAAACCAATAGAAGAATCCCAGTGTGAGGAGGGTTGGGGGGGCCGGGCCTTAAGAGTGTACCAATTTGTGAAATTTTGGCTATTAACAAGAAAAAAACAAAGGCCATTCCAGGCCTCTCCCCAGGGAACAAATCTGCCTGGGGTCAAAAAATGAGAGAAAAAGAGAGAACCTTGGCCTGGTGATTATACTCTACAACACAACTCAGGGAGGCCAGGTGCGGTGGCTCACACCTATAACCCCAACACTTTGGGAGGCAGAGGTGGGAGGATAGCTTGAGCCCAGGAGTTAGAAAACAGACTGAGCAACATAGTGAGACCTTATCACTACCCCCCCCCCAAAAAAAATGTTTTATTTAGCCAGATGCTATGGTGTGTGCCTGTAGTCCCAGCTACGGGGGAGGCTAGGACAGGAGGATTGTTTGAGCCCAGGAGGTCAAGGCTGCAGTGAACTATGACTGTGCCACTGCACTCCAGCCTGTGAGTGCTCCAGAGTGACTGTGCCACTCACTCCACAGAGTGAGATCATATCTCAAAAAACAAAAAATAAAAAGAAACAAACAAAAAACTACACTGCTGGCTTTTAAGATGGAGGAAGGGGCCCTGAGCCAAGGAATGTAGGCGGCCTCTAGGAACTGGAAAAAGCAAGGAAATGAATTCTCCCAAAGGAACAAGCCCAGTGAGACTGATTTTGGACCTCGGTCTGACCTTTAAAAGTATAAGATAATAGGCCAGGGGAGGTGGCTCACACCTGTAATCCCAGCACTTTGGGAGGCCGAGGCAGGTGGATTGTCTGAGGTCAGGAGTTCAAGACCAGCCTGGCCAACATGGTGAAACCCCATCTCTACTAAAATAAAAAAAAAAAAAAAAAAAGATACAAAAATTAGCCAGGCATAGTGGCAAATGCATGTAGTCCCAACTACTTGGGAGGGAGGCTGAGGCAGGAGAATTGCTTGAACCCAGAAGGTGGAGGTTGCAATGAGCCAAGATCGTGTCACTGCACTCCAGCCTCAGCAACAAAGCGAGAATCTGTTTCAATAAAATAAAATAAAATAAACCTCTAAATTGATTGAGATAAGCCTCCGACACTTTTCGGTTTACAAAAAACATACCTAAGAATTGGCCACCCAGGGGCAGGAAGCTGGGGTTTCTATCCAGTAACTCTAACCCTGCTGGCCCTTGGTTGGTTGAGGGTTGCCAGCATCCTGGTGCTTCCAGCCTGTCCCACACACCAGCAGAGTATGCCTCTGGGGACATCCGGATGGGATGGTGGTATGGAAAGATGCTGATGCTGATGTGCCTGGCCCTCATTTTTTGTGGGGCCGGGGGACAAGGAAAACACAAATCCTGACCTAGGCCCTGCTCCACCAGGAGGGGCCCGGTCACCCTGCAATCTCAGCCTTTCAGAGTGACAAGCACTGGCAAGGCCTGGCTGCACATAGCTTTATCTTTTGCTAGCACAACTTCCTCCTTTGCTTCCAGATTGGGCGTTGGAGCAGGACAGAGGCAGGACCCATCCATTCCTCCAAGTGCCCAGCCTAGGACAGGACTCTCTCCTCCATATCCAGCTCCCTCGGAGCCACCATGAACAGGCTCCAATCCCCAGGCCCAGGCGAAGCTGCTCTGGGCGAGACCCTCCTGGGCGACCTCATCAGCTACTACCGGGAGAGGGCAGGGGAGGGCCGGCTCCATGTCTGCAGGAAAGCAGCCCTCACCCACAGGGCCAGGTGGCTCCTGGGAAAGGGGGGCCCTCCATGGCTGTGTCTGCCAGAGTAAGTGGCCCTTGCTCTGGGTGGCTGCTGTTGTGGGGGTCCCAGTCCTGTCAGCCCTGTCCCAAAAGTCGGCCCCGAGCTGGTGCGTGCACTAGAGTTCCTGGAGCTGATCTCCGTCAACCTGCTTCTGTTTCCCTGGAGGAAGGAAATCAGGTCCCTGAAGGTAGGCACTGCCACACGTCTGAGCAAGGGGGGTTCAGGCAGGGGTTGGGGCTCTGCCTCTGGGGGAACAGCATGCCCATCATACCCACTGACTTCAGTCCCATTTCAGTTTAAGAAACTGAGGGCTCAAGAGACAGACGCAACTCATCTGTGGTCAACAGCTAGCAAGTGATACAACTGCTCCTAGCCACAAGACCAGCGGTCCCCAACCTTTTTGGCACCAGGGACCAGTTTCGTAGAAGACAATTTTTCCAGACAGGGTGGAGGGATGGGGGTGGGGTTGGTTTCGGGATGAAACTCTTCCACCTCAGACCATCAGGCATTAGATTTTCATTAGGAACATGCAACCTAGACCCCTCTCATGCACAGTTCATAATAGGGTTCCCACTCCTGTGAGAATCTAATGCCACTGCTGATCGTGACAGGAGGTGGAGCTCAGGTGGTAATGCTTGCTTGCCCGCCACTCACCACCTGCTGTGGGGCCAGGTTCCTAACAGACCACAGACCAGTACTGGTCCAAGGCCTGGGGGTTGAGGACCCCTGCACTGGACTGTACTGCCTCTCCAAGGAAAGATGAACCAAGGAGCTCATAATAAACAAGGAGAGGAGTTGGGCTTTGGAGATCTAACGGAGAGGTTTTTTTTGTTGTTGTTTTTCGTTTTGTTTTGTTTTTGAGACAGAGTCTTGCTGTCACCAGGCTGGAGTACGGTGGCGCAATCTTGGCTCACTGCAACTTCCACCTCTCAGGATCAAGCGATTCTCCTGCCTCAGCCTCCCAAGTAGCTGGGATTACCGGTGCCCACCACCACACCCGGCTAATTTTTGTATTTTTAATAGAGATGAGATTTCACCATGTTGCCCAGGCTGGTCTCAAACTCCTGACCTGAAGTGATCTGCCTGCCTCAGCCTCCCAAAGTGCTGGGTTTACAGACGTGAGCCATTGCACTCGATCCCTACCAGAGAGTTTTAATCTCTTCCTGCTCCAGGCCCTGACTGCTAGGCTGGGAGGTGGGATACCTAGAGCCTTACCCCAGCTCAGTCACTATCTTTCTGCATTTTTTTTTTTGTTTGTTTGTTTTTTGTTTGTTTGAGATGAAGTCTCACTCTGTGGCCCAGGCTGGAGTGCAGTGGTGCCATCTCAGCTCACTGCAACCTCCACCTCCTGGTTTCAAGCGATTCTCCTGCCTCAGCCTCCCAAGTAGCTGGGATTACAGGCACCCACCACCGCACTAAAAATAATCTTCTTGTATTTTTAGTAGAGACAGGGTTTCACCGTGTTGGCCAGGCTGGTCTCCAGCTCCTGACCTCAGGTGATCCACCCGCCTTGGCCTCCCAAAGTGCTGGGATTACAGGCATGAGCCACCACACCCAGCCATTTTGTGTGTCTTTGGATAGATCCTGCTTTGTCTTTGAGCCTCAGTGTACCCCTCTGTAAAAGGGGACAGAGGATAACGTGATCATGGACCAGGCTTTCCTTTGGCCAAATGCCCTCATCCACGTGCTTCTCAGGAGCCCCTGGTGTCCCTCAGCACCAGCCCTTGATCCTGCCTGGCCTGGCCCCTCTCAGCCACTCTGCTGAGGCCTATCCCACTCCTAACAAGCTCCCTTGTCTGTTCTAGATGTACACTGGGAGCTTTACCTACTGGGTGTGATCTGTGCTTTCCAGACACACAGTGGACACCATCCTGGGCAGGCTGGGCTACACGACCACCTTGGAGTCTGAGTTCTCACTGGTCCAGGCCATCAGTAAAGAGGATGTCAAGCAGATGGTGTTCGAGATCTTCCTGGCGAGGGTCTCATGTGAGGCCGTTCTTAGAACTACGGGCACACAGGTGCTTGAGCTGGGCACAGAGAAACTTGCCAGGCCCCACAGCAGGCACAACTCAGAGAAAAGGCTGGTGAAACCCTGCAGCTGCCTCGAGGGGGTTCAGCCAGGCCCAGGTTGTGGGGGACCACAGCAAGGTTCCTCAGAAGGGGTGGGATCCGAGAGGGCCCTGGCAGAGGGCACTGCTGACCAGAGATCTCTGCCCATGGCTCTGAGCCCATCTGAGGTCTCAACAGCCCCCAACAGCCTCCCCAACAGCTCCCCAGTCCCCTGGGGCCCCCAGTGCCATGCCAGCACATGCTCGGACAGTGAGGAGGTCCTGCCTTGCTTCAGTGACCCTGTCTTATACTGGATGCCCTGGTTTCCCAAGGACATTTTCCTGAGAAGCCTGAAGGGAAACCAACTCCCAGGCCTAGCCCTGGCCCCTGGCCCTTCCTCGGGTGACGTGGTCACCGCCTCAGGGTGCAGCAGGGAGCAGTCCCTGGACTCAGATGCAGTTCTTGAGAGCAGAGAAGTCACCATTCTCAGCCAGCTCTGCCCAACACCAGGTCCCCAGTCTCCAGGGTAGTCCTTAGACCAGAAGCCACAAGCATAGCTGGAGCTGGCCAGCCCCAGAACAGACGCCGCACCTCCCAGCACCTCTTCAGAGAGGAATGAGCTCTGAGTGCTCCCCTACCTTCTGGGCCCCTCAACTCCTGCAGGCCATCCTAGAGGCATCCCGCGCCCTGGGGTGGAGGAAGATGGACAACTAGGGCCTCTCATGGGGCCAGCGTCAACTGGTGATGATGTCAGCCCAGAAAGTGGAGTCACTCCGCTCCGGAGGTCTACCCAGGCTCCCCTGCATGGATGAGAGTCCCCCAACACCCACTATACCCCCCAGTGGGGGCTGGTGACACCAGTTCCCACCCAAAGACACCATCCCAGCAATGGCTGAGGGAGTAATCTCTGGCTGGTATAGGGCAGGCACCCTGAATAAGCAAATAACTCTCACTGCAATGTCCACCAGGAAGTGACTGCTGGGAGAGGTGCTAGACCTGGGATCACGGCACGGGAGGAGAAGCAGGGCACAGGGGAAGAGTGGCCAAACCTATGGCTTGCTTGTGAGGCATAGGAGCCAATCTGCTAACCCCAAAAGCTCTCAAATTCCAGCCCTGCCATCGATGACTTGCGTGACCTTGGGCAACTCACTCCACCTCTCTGAGCCTCGTTTTCCTCATCTGTAAAGTGACTATGGTCAGACGTCTTCCCAGGAGGCTGGGAAGAGTTAGTGAAGTGAGGTGTGCTCAGAGTCCATTAGAGACCGACCCAGAGAAGGGTCCCTCCCTTTAGGCTTTCTGTCCCCTTCATGTCCCAGCTCAGTTGTGTGACCCTGGGTAAGTCATCCTGCAGCTCTGAGCAGCTGCTTCCCTCAGCAGCCTTCAGACCCATTCCACCAGTCACAGTGCAAATAAAGAGGGCAGAGATGTGTAGACAACTGGATGTGTAGTACACCCTTAATTCATCTAGGATCCACTATTGGCCTCCCTTTTCTCTCGGCTAATTTGTTGGGAGCTCAGGGTCAGCTCTCATGCCTGCTCTCCAACCAGGAGTGGGGGCACCCCCTCTACCTGCCATCTCCTGCCCCTTTATGTACACATATACATGCACACATGCACACAAGTGGGTACATTCAGCACGGCACATGCATATACACATGTCCTTAGTCATTCCTCATTGAGATCCCAACAGAGGGCATCCTCCTCCAACCAGGGGCTTCTCTATGCGGTGGCAGGTGTCACTAACCCAGGGACGGCCTCTCGGGCTTCCCATCTGTGAAATGGGAAACATTAAATAGGTGAAGGTCCCTTCAGGGTGCAAAGCAGGTGTGTAATAAATGTTGGTACCTGCCTTTGCTCTCCCTGAAACTGAGCATATAACCACACCACTTTCAGTCCTTAAGACCAAGATAAGGCCTCAGGCTGGAAGGATTTTAAAAGCTTTGGCTCCACCTCCATCCAAGTCAGAGAGAGTTGTCCACTAAGATAGCCCCTACACAGGATTTTTGAGACACAAATCAGGAAGCAGTATGCACTGGGCAGCACAGGGCACACTGGTTAATCACCCACTCATCCATCCAACCATCCATCCATCCCTGCCTTCCATCCTCCCTCCCTCCCTTGATCCTTCCTTCCCTCCATCCAACTGTCCATTCATCCCTGCCTCCCACCTCTCTCCTGCCCTTGATCCTTCCTTCCTTCCCTTCCTTTCCTTCCTTCCTGCCTTCCTTCCTTCCATCCAACCATCCATCCATCCATTCTTCCATCCATCCATCCCCACCTCCCACCCTCCCTCCCTCGATCCTTCCCTCCTTCCTTCCTTCCTTCCTTCCTTCTATCCAGCCAGCCATTCATCCATGCAACCATCCATTCATCCATCCATCCATCCATCCTAATCACTTAGCACAGCATCTGGTAGCCCACAGCCAAGCTGGAGAGCTGTCAGGGTGTAGAGCATTATGGGGAAAGTGAGGGAGCCACACCCCAGCCACAAGCCCCCATCAGGAACATCAAAAACAAGTAGGGCCAGGTGCGGTGGCTCATACCTATAATCCCAGCACTTTGGGAGGCCAAGACGGGAGGATCACTTGAGCCCAGGAGTTTGAGACCAGCCCGGACAGCATAGCAAGACCTTGTCCCTATAAAAAAATATTTTTAAATCAGCCAGCCATGTAGTCTCAGCTACTCAGGAGGCTGAGATGGGAGGAATGCTTGAGCCCAGGAGCTCAAGGCAGGAGTGAGCCATGATTACACCACTGCACTCCAGCCTGGATGACAGAGTGAGACCCTGTCTCTTAAAATAAAAATAAATAAATGGGGGGCGGGGGGAAGAACAGGCTGATCAAGAGGCAGAACAGGTCAGCAATCTCAGGAGAAAGGTGAGGCAAGAGGCTGCATCAGCTTGGAACCATGACAGCCACTCCAAGGCACATCCCCCAGGGCACCTGACCTGCAGCAAAGGAGCCTGGGAGAGCAACTTAGGCCAAGGATTCCAGAGGCAGGAAAGGCGAGCTAATTATTTTTCATTTTTATTCATTCTTTTCTGACCATTAACATAATAAGCATGCTTATTCCAAACCAAAACAGAACTTTTGCTCACTTCACTAAGCCTGCCCCTCCCACATTCCCCATCTGGGTCAAAGCGTCCATCATCCACTCACTCACTCCAATCCAATGCAGACATCATCCCTGACTGACATCTCTCTCTCTCCTCTCTCTCTCTCCTCCTCCCCCCGCTTTCTCTCTCTATCACATCCTTCATCCAATTCCTAGCTCCTCTCTTTCACAAGAGAGTCTGAATCCAACCCCTTCCCACCTCCTTCCACAGTAATCAAATTCACCATCGTCTCTCACTCACGTCCCTGGAGGCTGCCAGCCTTCTGCAGCCTGTGCTCCACCCAAATGCTGAAGGATTCTGTTAAAACCTACATTAGGGCTCTGCATGGTGGCACATGCCTGTAATACCAGCACTTTGGGAAGCTAAGGTGGGAGGATTGCTTGAGTCCAGGATTTTGGGACCAGCCTGGGCAACATAGAAAGACTCCATCTCTATATATTTAAAAATAATAATAATAAAATAAAAATGTTTAAAAAAAAAAAAAACCCTACATTTGATCATGATCCTCATGTGTTCAGTTCCCTCCAGGGGTACCTGAGGCCATATCAAGTCCCAGGCTCAGCCTCTCACTTCCCCTCTGAACTCATCTCAGGTCCCTTCCCCAATGTCCACTGTAGCCAAAGCCACCCTGGCTTCTGCAAGGTTCTGGAACATGCTGAGCCTGGCCCTATTCCCAGCCTCTGCACAGACTGTTCCCTCTGCTCTGTCTCCCTACCCCACCCTGCCATGTTCTCTTTCTTGTTATTCACATCTCCCCTTAAACGTCACCTTCTCAGAGAGGCCCCCTCTGACCAACCCTCTATCACATCAGCTTAGTTTAATTTTCTGCACAAAGATTTGAACTCATGTATTCATTTTCCATTTCCCCCCATTAGAAGATAAACTCCATGAGAGTTAAACTTCATCTTGTCTCATTCACCATTATTTCCAAGGATCCATCATATTAAACCATCAAATGAGCAGAAAACTTAAAAAGTACAGATGAATATGAAAACAAAAGCAAACATTACCATAATTTCCACCATTCAGAGATACCCAACGTCACCAGATTCCTGCAATTCCTCCCAGTCTTTTTTCTATATACGCATATATTAAACATTTGGGATTGTAATATTTACAGTGTTGTGCTTTGCCTTTATTTCCCATGAAGGGTGTTATTCTAACTAATTTTAGACCGAGAGAAAAGTTGCAAAATAGTACAAAGAACTCCTTTCCACTCCTGGCCCTGCTTCTCCTGAAGCTGACATCTTATGTAACCATAGTATAATGATCAACAACAGGAAATTAATATTGATACAATGTTATTAACTATACTACAAACATTATTTAAGTTTCCCAGTGTTCCATTAATATCCTTTCTCTACTCCAGGAGCATATACAGGATCCCACATTGCACCGAAGTTGACATCTTATGTAACCATAATATAACGATCAAGAACAGGAAATTAATATTGATACAATGTTATTAACTATATTACAAACATTATTTAAGTTTCCCAGTGTTCTATTAATATCCTTTCTCTATTCAGGAGCCTATCCAGGACCCCACATTGTATTTATATATTTTCCTTTGTCTCCTCCAGTCTATAATAGTTCTTCAGTTTTTTCCCTGTCTAACATGACCTTGGTGCTTTTAAAGAGCTTTTTCCAATCAGTTATTTTGTTGAATGGCCCTCCATTTGGGTTTGTCTGGTGCTTTCTTATTACTGGAGTCAAGTATGCATTTCTGGCAAGGATACCACACCAAAAAAAAAAGATACTACCAGGCACAATGGCTCACACGGTAATCCCAGCACTTTCAGAGGCCAAGGCAGGCAGATCACTTGAGCTCAGTTAGAGTCTAGCCTGGGCAACATGACAAAAGCCCTACTCTACAAAAAATACCAAAAATTATCCAGGCCTGGTGGCATGCACCTGTAGCCCCAGCTCCCCAGGAAGCTGAGGAGGATCACCTGAGCCCAGGAGGTCGAGGCTGCAGTGAGCTGTGATTGTGCCACTGTATTCCAGCCTGGGTGACAGAGCGAGACCCTGTCTCAAAAGGAAAAAAAAAAATGATGCTGTCCTCAATGCGTCTTCGTAAAGGCTTCATGATGTCACTACGTCTTTTTACCTTGATCACTTATTAAGCTGGTATCTATGGGGTTGCCATCTCCACTGTCAAATTAGTTACTTTCTTTCCCTTTTTACTTGATAAATAATATTGCGGAAAACAGAAACTATGCAAATCTTGTTTCTCCTCAAACTTCTGTCCACTAATTTTAGTATCGACAGGTAAATCTTGTGTGTGTGTATATATATATGTGTATATATGTGTGTGTGTGTGTGTGTGTGTGTGTGTGTATATATATATATTTTAGGCAGTCTCGTTCTGTCGCCCAGGCTGGAGTGCAATGGCACGATCTCGGCTCACTGCAAGCTTCACCTCCCAGGTTCACGCCATTCTCCTGCGTCAGCCTCCAGAGTAGCTGGGACTACAGGCGCCTACCACCATACCCAGCTAATTTTTTTGCATTTTTAGTAGAGACGGGGTTTCACTGTGTTAGCCAGGATGGTCTGGATCTCCTGACTTCATGATCTACCCACTTCGGCCTCCCAAAGTGCTGGGATTACAGGCATGAGCCACCGCACCTGGCCTGTGATATTTTTAACTGTGGTGTTTGTGTAATGGCAAGTCTCTGTTTCTCTCTTGCCTTTTATGTGTATTAACTGGAAATCTATCATAAGGAAGCACTCCCTTTCTTCCCTGTTTATTTCTTCAATTGTTTATTTATAGCAGCATGGATTCATGGATATTTATTTTAGTCTATGTGTTAGAATCCAATACTATCGTAATTTATTTTTTCCTCAAACTGTTCCAGCTTTGGCCATTAGGAACTTCAGGCAAGCTCCATTCCCTTGACATGGTTTCATCACCCCCGACCCCCCTGCACCTTCTTTCTAGCACCACAAGATATTCCAGGCTCATCTTGTCATTCCCCTGTGGCATCCCTGGAATCAACCACATCTCCTAGGAGCCCTGGTTCCTTTTACAGGAGAATGATGTTTAGAGACCAAGAACTGGGTACCAGGTGTGCTCACTGTTACTGGGTGCCATTGCTTCTAGACCCACTCAGGACAGAGCTAGGAAACACAGGTATGTGTACTAAGCACACATAAACATACACACAGATCTATATTTCTGTATCCATCTATATATAATTTTATTTATTATTTATTTAGAGACAGGCACTTGCTTAGTTACCCAGGCTGGAGTGCAGTGGTACAATCACAGCTCTCTGCAGCCTTGAACCCCTGGACTCAATCTATTCTCACACCGCA